GTCTTCACGACATGGCGGCGGCGGCAACAATACTACAGCGAGAATAAAAGTTACGCCTTCTTTCTTTGCGTGAACATTTGGGCAGCGTTATGCAAATCTTCCCACATCGTGAGGTAGATATGTGGGGGTGTGTTAGAACGAGCCGTTTTAGGTAGGCGTGGTTGACTCTTAACTTTTATAAAGAATATCTCTTTGGATTTGAGACTTTAGTCTTTGTAACTTTACAGATCTTCTTTATGCACCAAGAGCTTGTAACGCTCCAAAGAGAAAGGAAAAATTTAAATAGCATCATATGACCCCTTTTAAGCTTATTTATTTCAGTTAGTTGCTGAGGCAACATTTCTAGTTTAGTTTAACAAGTTTAGATTTAAGCTTTTTAAGTTTAAGTTAGTTTTTTCATGTAATATTTTTTCTCTAATTTATTTTTTTTCTATTATTTTTATAACACTGCTCTCAAATGAATAAATGCAAAACTGACATCTGACAAACAATTGTTTCACAAGTTACCATCATTGTGGTCCATTTCAGATCCAGTCCTTGACCCAGAAGATTTGGGAAATGAAGGGTACAAAGCAACGAACCAAACTGAAGAAGGTTAAGAAGTCACATGATGCCAAGCTCGATGCGCTGACTGAATTCAAAATGTCAGCAAAGTCAGATTTCAAAGCCAACCTGAAGACAGTAAAGAAAGAAGATGAGAAGGTAATGCATTCTATTTCTGTTTTTTAGTCTTTTGGCATTATAATTTATTATTATATATACATTATATTATATTAATTTGTCATTTAAATAAATCAAAGCTCATTCTAAACCTATTTTTATCTATTTGTCCCATTGATAGAAAGAAGAAGTGACTGACTGGCGTAAGAATGTGGAGGCCATGTCTGGAATGGAGGGCAGGAAGAAGCTGTTTGATGCTGGACAGTAAAAAAAAAACTACAAAGTAAACTTGTCACTTGACATCCAGCACATTTATTACCTGTGTTGCTGTAAAAAACAACAAAAAACCTGTGTTGCTGTACTTCTCAGACTCTGTAACAATAAATGTGTACCAAGATGAGAAGGCTTCCAATATACACAGTTTGAAGCAAGAAAATCCAAAACATACAAATATGATGTCTTGTGACTAATAATGTCAATTAAGCACAGAAAAACTGTTTATAATGTTCATAGGTTTAAGTGTTTTGTAGGTGACTTTAGGACTTAGCGTGTCTTTACCAGCTGTCCTTTACTGCAATTTATGGACAGTCTACAAATGTGTCTACATCTGAATCTAAATTTGATACTTTGTATATTAAATGTTAAATACATGATATATGCATGAGAGCTATAATGAGACTGGAAGTGAATTGTATGCAATGTTGTGAAATAGTGCTGTTCAGGAATAAAAGATGTCAGATATTGTGTAACACGTTCTACACTACTGGAAGTAAAAATTTCAATGTAATGGCATTCCAAAATTAAATGACCCCATGCGACAAAGAAACGTGTTGTGTCACCATGCAATTTCCTTGCAAAACAAATACTGTCCTTGAAATGCATTGCTGCACTTGGTTGTGTACCTTGCAAGTGCATAACTGGTTTTAAGTTACCACATGCTATGTGCATATTTACCCAAATTCAATGTAGCGATGGTATCCTTTATTTGTATCTCACACTCTACGGAAACCCTTTGGGAACCTACTGGAAATGTAAACAAGATTGTACGAGTATAAAAAGTGACGAGACAGCACATACCCTTCATATCTTCATGTTGTTCCATATTAAACTGCTGACTGAAGTTATTCGACTTTCATTATTGATTCATTCAAGCTAACTAGGCTCTGTAGATGTTTTCAGAGCTGCAGTAGAGGTCATACAGTTACTGGCAGAGCAAAGCCTCTTCTGCCTTGTAGGGTCAAACAATGGGAAATGAAGAGTGACTTGCAGTGGACAATGTGTGCAATTGTGTTTTGATGGTGCTGAGTAAAATGAGCCTCAGGGTGAAAGGCTTCAGTCTATTTTAGTGAGCCACTCAGAGGAGGCCAAAGAGGCCATAAAATTTGCCTGGGTTTTCTTGTGCACTGCCATTGTCACACTCTCATTCCCTCGGAGTGGTCTTTGGAGGAACAGGTATCTATTTGGCACTGCTAACTGTAAAAACAATGCATTTAATTGCTCTAAAACTAACAAAATTACCCATGAGATATAACTGCTGACATCAAATTAATGCATATAGCATAGCTCAGATAGTTTGGTCTTTAAAAACTTTGATGAGACATGGCTGGTTACATTGTTGAGATCTCTTCTTAAGCCATAGGATATTAAAGTAAAATTCTCAATTTGCACCTCATTTGGTCTCATTGCTCTCTAGGAGAAACATTTGAGATGTTCTTTTTTCTTGAGGGCTTTCTGATTCTGGTTCATCCACCAGAAACATATTACTGTGTAATGCTGAGAAGGGGTGCTAAAAAATTGATAGTGCATACTGCTTATGAAGTGAATTATGATTTTTAGACATGTATTCCATAATAATAATTGTGCTTATCAGTCACCAATCTTTATATTTTGACTAGTGATTTGCACCAGATTAGTCATAAAAAGGAAGTACTTAGAAGCTCACAATGTCTGAGTCGTAAGTATTCAGTCTTTTAAGTTGTTAATATCTATATCTGCTATCTTGTTGTAAATGTATATGTTCAAACCATGCCTATTTTATTTCTTTTCATAAACTGAAAATTGCCAATTTAGACAGGTAAGTAGATTTTATTGCTTTAAATTTTTGTATATGGCAAAATCATTTTATTTGTTTCAACAAAATCCAATTGTGCTTGATTCTTGCAGCAACCCAAACCTAAGATTTCGGCATCCAGGAGATTGTTCTTAAAGGTATTCAAGATTCAAGATTCGTATTTCTCGCGTACACAGTTATATAGAGAATATATAACCAGCAGTGAAATATAAATCAGGTCCGCTTTATAGACTGTGCAATAATTTTATAAAGTATATAACAAGAAATAAACCAAGGTATTTGGTTCTGTTTGTTTTACAGAGAAGATATAATTAAAAAAGATGGTGCATTTACCAATCCTTCTGACATGTTTTGCTTCAGACAAAGCTGCTGAAGAAGGCAACATCTATGCTTGTGAATGAAAAAGAGGAGAAGCAGAGGGAGAGAGAGACCACCTTGCGTGAGAGAGTGCCACCTCTACAGCTGTCCGGTCTGTCTGTTCAAGAGCTTCAGGTAAACCTCATTTAAAATGACGCTTTATAAAATAATATTTTTTTAATTAGATGAAAATATATAAATGTAATTATCTATATATATAATTTAAAAATGTATTAATTTTTTTAATTATTAGTAAAGACTTGGTGCAATCTGTATGCAACATAACTAATGTTGGAAAATGTAAAGTAGTTTCAGTGACTTCATATGCTAGAAATAGCATTGACAACCACTCTTTTGTAGTTTCCTTTTGATCCAATAATTTGTTTTCAGAGAACTGCATCAAAAGATTGATGTTGTAGATGAAGAGAGGTACGACATCTCCGTCAAGGTGGCCAAAAATGAAAAGGAGGTACTACTCCATCAGGGGAATCACCTTTTATCTTATTAGATTCAATGGAAATACACTGGATTTAACTTTATGTTGATCCACTATAATAAATGCAAGTGTCTGCTTCAGACTGCAGATTTGAACATCAAGATTACCGAACTTAGAGGTAAAATGAAGAGACCTGCACTGAAGAGGGTGAAGATCTCAGCCGATGCCATGTTGGGTGCTCTTCTGGGCTCCAGGGTCAAAGAGTCTGTGGATTTCAAAGCCAACCTCAAGACAGTCAAGAAAGAAGAGGAGAAGGTCATGTGACATTTTAAGGGGGAAAAAAATAAAATTCTGAGTGGTAATGTATATGTATTTTTGAGCTATTTTAACACACCCCTGTTGTTACACCTGTTACTCTCACAGAAAGAAGAAGTGACTGACTGGCGAAAGAATGTGGAGGCCATGTCTGGAATGGAGGGCAGGAAGAAGCTGTTTGATGCGGGACAATAGAGGATGAATTAAAAAATGATTTTATGGTTTGTTTTTCAATGATCTTTTGGTTAAGAATGTCTTACTTCAAATATTTTATCTAGACTTTAAGCACTGAATTTTATTTGTTTTCTTACAGGTGACAACTACACCAGAATTCAAAAACTTCTTAAATTGAATGTATAAATCAATGCAAGTTCATATAATACATATATCCTACTTTAATAATAGCTTAGGATTATAGTTTAATATTTTATTTTAGTTAAAAATTTTAGTTAAATTATTTAGACAAGAAGACGGTGCCTCAAACTTACTTGATGTCTAAAGTACTTAGAAGCTCACAATGTCTGAGTCGTAAGTATTCAGTCTTTTAAGTTGTTAATATCTATATCTGCTATCTTGTTGTAAATGTATATGTTCAAACCATGCCTATTTTATTTCTTTTCATAAACTGAAAATTGCCAATTTAGACAGGTAAGTAGATTTTATTGCTTTAAATTTTTGTATATGGCAAAATCATTTTATTTGTTTCAACAAAATCCAATTGTGCTTGATTCTTGCAGCAACCCAAACCTAAGATTTCGGCATCCAGGAGATTGTTCTTAAAGGTATTCAAGATTCAAGATTCGTATTTCTCGCGTACACAGTTATATAGAGAATATATAACCAGCAGTGAAATATAAATCAGGTCCGCTTTATAGACTGTGCAATAATTTTATAAAGTATATAACAAGAAATAAACCAAGGTATTTGGTTCTGTTTGTTTTACAGAGAAGATATAATTAAAAAAGATGGTGCATTTACCAATCCTTCTGACATGTTTTGCTTCAGACAAAGCTGCTGAAGAAGGCAACATCTATGCTTGTGAATGAAAAAGAGGAGAAGCAGAGGGAGAGAGAGACCACCTTGCGTGAGAGAGTGCCACCTCTACAGCTGTCCGGTCTGTCTGTTCAAGAGCTTCAGGTAAACCTCATTTAAAATGACGCTTTATAAAATAATATTTTTTTAATTAGATGAAAATATATAAATGTAATTATCTATATATATAATTTAAAAATGTATTAATTTTTTTAATTATTAGTAAAGACTTGGTGCAATCTGTATGCAACATAACTAATGTTGGAAAATGTAAAGTAGTTTCAGTGACTTCATATGCTAGAAATAGCATTGACAACCACTCTTTTGTAGTTTCCTTTTGATCCAATAATTTGTTTTCAGAGAACTGCATCAAAAGATTGATGTTGTAGATGAAGAGAGGTACGACATCTCCGTCAAGGTGGCCAAAAATGAAAAGGAGGTACTACTCCATCAGGGGAATCACCTTTTATCTTATTAGATTCAATGGAAATACACTGGATTTAACTTTATGTTGATCCACTATAATAAATGCAAGTGTCTGCTTCAGACTGCAGATTTGAACATCAAGATTACCGAACTTAGAGGTAAAATGAAGAGACCTGCACTGAAGAGGGTGAAGATCTCAGCCGATGCCATGTTGGGTGCTCTTCTGGGCTCCAGGGTCAAAGAGTCTGTGGATTTCAAAGCCAACCTCAAGACAGTCAAGAAAGAAGAGGAGAAGGTCATGTGACATTTTAAGGGGGAAAAAAATAAAATTCTGAGTGGTAATGTATATGTATTTTTGAGCTATTTTAACACACCCCTGTTGTTACACCTGTTACTCTCACAGAAAGAAGAAGTGACTGACTGGCGAAAGAATGTGGAGGCCATGTCTGGAATGGAGGGCAGGAAGAAGCTGTTTGATGCGGGACAATAGAGGATGAATTAAAAAATGATTTTATGGTTTGTTTTTCAATGATCTTTTGGTTAAGAATGTCTTACTTCAAATATTTTATCTAGACTTTAAGCACTGAATTTTATTTGTTTTCTTACAGGTGACAACTACACCAGAATTCAAAAACTTCTTAAATTGAATGTATAAATCAATGCAAGTTCATATAATACATATATCCTACTTTAATAATAGCTTAGGATTATAGTTTAATATTTTATTTTAGTTAAAAATTTTAGTTAAATTATTTAGACAAGAAGACGGTGCCTCAAACTTACTTGATGTCTACTTGATTGTTTCTGTGATGTTGAGCCCATTTTCTGTCTTAAAAATAAAAACAGATAAAAAAAAGACTAAATATTTGGACCCTTACTTTCAAAAAATGCTAACTGCCTGAAGCTTAGGACTTAATATCCCAGTAGCCCCTTACTGCAGAGCACAAGATCCAGGGGGCATGATTGGATCCAGATCCAACTCCTCCCACCTAACATATACCTAAACCTACCCGTCTCCACCCCCTGATCCCTAAAACCACCCATCTCCACCCCTAAACCTACCAATCTCCACCCCCTATATGTGGATCCAACCATGCCCCCTGGATCTTGTGTTCTGCATTGAGGGTGGGGCTCCACATCCGGGGCAATCCTCCGCTCAGTCGCTCTGCATTGCGCTGGCTCGTTGATCACGGCGGTGATGGGCTCTCCATCATCGGTGGGCTCGGGCTGATGCTCCGCACCGCGGGGAGATGGTGGGTAAGGGGAAACACAACAGAAACAAAAACACTGAGAGAAAAAACGGAAACAAAAACGTAGGGTAGACACACGGAGGTAACTGTATTTGGTCGGGTCATCTGTCACAATACGCTGGAGCACGGACACGAGGAAATGAGGAGACGTGGAGATTTTACAGAACGTGAGTCTTTTAATGATCTAATAGGGAGACACAGAGCACAAGGATGACGTTCACAACAAGTAGACCCGACCGAGGAGAAATGCACAGACAAGAACTTATAAACACAGGACAATTACCAAACACAGGTGCACAGAATGACTAATTAACTAAACGAGGACAGGAACATGACCAAATAAGGGAACACAGGAACAGAAACAGGGGCAAAACATAACAAAACAGGCCCATGATCCTGACACCTTGATAGTGCGATGGGCCTTTTTCACATTTCCGGGTTTCTCAGCAGCAGACGTCGTCATAGTTGTGTAAACTTCTATAGCAGTGAATGGGAGACTACCACAAATATATTTTTTGCATTTTGCTCAAATAGCAAAAGAAAAACTCCATGATAGTGTTTTCATGACTTTCAAAAAAAGGAAAAAATAGAGAGAGACTGATAATGGCAGACAGTAGAGAGAACGATGTCAAATTTATTATCACTCTCATAGACACTGAATTAGAAAAACCCTCACATTAGTGTTAACTAGATTTTTTGTCATTTGATGCAAAGGTTATATAATACAAAGTATAGTATTATAAATATATATGCATTTTTTTTTAAAAATGTAAAAAAACAAAAAATATAAAAAACTTTGGAGGATTTACGATGCTGATGACCATTGAAACGCGTCATCACAGTCTTGTGAAAAGGGTCCATTGTACACTCTAATCAACTACAATTGCCATTTTTTCTCACAATTGTGAGTTTACGTTAAGCAATTCTGACTTTTTTCTCACAATTCTGTGTTCACATCTCACAATTCTGTTGTTTCCACCATGGAATAAAAAACTTGCAAATTTTATAGTTTATATCTCGCAGTTCTGAAGGAAAAAAGTAAGAATTGTGAAATGAAACATTTTTCATATTTTTTAAAGGGGTCATATGATGCGATTAAAATTTTTCCTTTCTCTTTGAAGTGTTACAAACTCTTGGTGCATCTATGACATTTTTTGTTATATGACTTATTTTTTTACTTTAGTCTATATCTCACAATTCTGAGAAAAAAAGTCAGATTGTGAGATATAATATCAGAATTGCGCAATTACATTTTTATTTTGTGGTGGAAAACTGTCACTCACATGAGATTGAAACAATAAGCAAACAACATTGATACAATGATCCAATCAATTCCTGATGGACAAAACTAGTCCCAGCCCACATTTTTTCTCATCACATGGATAAACGTCACAAAAAAGAAGACAGATGAAGACTGTAACTGGACTACACACACACACACACTCACACACACAATGCTGTAGCTTGAATGTAATTGCGCATGTAAACATATTTAATGTCATTTTTTATTATATCCGTTTTTCTTGACGTCTTAAAGGGCCAGCTATAATTATATTTCCATCCAGAAAATATAATTAGTGTCATAATATGATTTAAAAAAAAAAAAACTACTACATATTGCAGTTTTCATATGAACACCATACGCTCTCTTTAAATGGCTTTGTACACTCTCAGATAAAAAATTACAAAAGCTGTCACTGGGGCGGTACCTTTTCAAAAGATTTACCTTTAACGAGTCCATATTGGGACCTTAAAAGAACATATTAGTACCTAAAGTGTATATATTTGTACCTAAAAGGTACCGCCCCAGTGACAGCTTTTGTAATTTTTTATCTGAGAGTGTACAAAGCCATTTAAAGACAATGACTTCTTGCATTTGGCATCCCATCATCTGGCCATAATGCCTAAAAATAAATCCAGGACAAATGGCAGGTGGTAATTCACTACATATCTCTTGGAGTATCACCTCTCAGGGAGAATGAGGTGTGACGAGGGCAGCTCACATTACAACAAAACAGTGCTTCCACCTGCTCACTGTCCTCTAAACCCAAGAAATAATTTATACCACATCGCCTCCTGCCAGCTATTGGTCGCTTAATGTGCATGGAAATTATCACGTTCATGAGATAGCTGTCATGGCATAACATCATAACGCAATTAACTGGAATAAACATGGAAACAATTTGATATTTGTTATTTCCACTTCCTCTCTTTTTTATTGTTGTCTGACATCTTATCCTTTCCGTTTTTCATAGATAATGTTTTTAATATGAGTACAGGTTAGTTGTACCGTAATAAGTGCTAAATGCTTATACCAGTTTGCCTTATTTACTTTTATAGACTGTCATTTCCACACAAATTTATTTCTGTTATGGCTAGCATCACCTTTAGACCTTTGAACTGGTCATCAATATGGTTTTGGCCACAAAAAGAGGCATTCAAACCCGTCCACACTGCATAACTGCATGTCTCTGTCCAAATGAAAGTTTTACTACGCTAGTTTACTGTGTGAACAGTAAATGTCAGTAGTGGGGTCTATTTTAGGGGTCTGTTTTAGTGAGACGTTCCCATGCGTGCTGAAACTATAAATCCAAGTATTTTCTTTTTTCCTCGGTCAGCCAGTTAACCTCCACTACTGTCTTTTCTTCTTCTAGCAGGTATGTCTTTTTCAGTGGTCATAAGAGGCTAGCAGCTATGTGTTTGCTTAGTTTTTGATGGCAAATGCATCATTATTCAGTTGTTAGAAAGGGGTTATGGATTATATTATTATTAGCTGTGATGGTATATGTTAAAATATTTATTTATTATTTATCCAAAACTGGTAAGAAATTGGGCACAGTTGCATTGTTATCTGTTCAGATGTCTCTCAAATTGGTGATAATCCAGGAAGATTTTCATCTATGCTAAAACTCACGGACGTTATGCACAGAACTCCTACTGCTGTGTGAGGACTAATAGGTCAAATGGATGGATTAAAGAGTCCGACTACCAGTGTCATTGACGAATTAGTATTAATTTAAGCATGATCCTTCAAAGATTGCATAAATGATACACATTATATTAAATATGGAAAGTGAGAAGAAAATTAGGTTCTGTTTTAAGTTAGAATTTTTTTTATTTCATATTTTTTATTTATTTTGCTGTGCTATAAAGCTTTTTTTTTTCTGGAAATGTAACTCATTCTTACAAACGTTGCCTAACATTTAAATATTAAATATGATTAAATATGTTTGCATATAGTAGTCAGCTTACCATGTCTAATGCATTTGAAAAGTGATCATTGTGACTTGCAATAGGACATCATATGGTTCCAACATTGTCTTTAAGTGACTTTATATTTAAAATAAAACTCCAGTTTTCTTTGTCAGGTCATTATGCCATACCAGACAACAGTGTGTTGTTATTTTTAACTAAGACTAAAACTATTAAAAATAATTTTAATTAATTGAAATAAAGCTGAAATAAAATAAGAAATTAATAAGATCTAAATAAATATTAAATTACAAATTAAAAAATTCAAAATAAATTAAAGATAAACTAAAATGAAAATGAAACTAAAAATTTAAAAATGAAAGATAATTCTAAATACTTCTAAATAAAAGTAGGTTATATAAATAACACTAAAATAGCACTGCATATGGTTCAAATGCTTGTTATCTTAAATACTCTAATTTGCTAGTTTTCTAGTATGTGTTTCACAGTACAGATGTTATTTTACAGTTTACAGTTATTTTATTTCACAGATAAGTGAGGACTACAGAAGGATGTCTGACGTGTGAGTATCTTCACCTTCATCAGTAATAACCAGCTATTTATGAATTATGATATCGGTCATGTCTCTATCAACATTCTCTACTATCTATGCTCCAATGGCTGCTTCAACCGAAGCCCCCAACCAAAGCAAAAACCCAAGATCACTTCAGCTCATCGGTTGGGCTTCAAGGTGAGCGCCACTTACTGACCACAGTTATACACACAGTTTGCTGGATAATTTGTGTGCTCAATTAGAGAGATTCTACATTTGATAACAAAAGTAATACATTTTTCTTTTGATATGACAACAATGCACCTGTCATCCTGAAGATAAGGCTGCTAAATACAGCACTGGAAATGCTGAAAGTAGAGAAGCAGGATAAAGAAAAGGAGAGGGAGCAAGTGCTCAGTGAGAGAATTCCTCCGCTCCATCTTTCCAGTCTGTCAGTACAGGCATTACAGGTACAATTAGCCTAAACTATTTCAATAAATCATTGAACTCCATTTATAAAACTTAAAGGTGCTGTATGTAGGATTGACACCGAGTGGTTGAACTAGGTATTGCAGTCCAAATTCAAAATATTAGAGAGGGTTTTTTTCACCCGGCCCCTCCTCCTCAGACTTGATGCACACGCAGGTTGCCAGATTGACGACACCAACAGGAACGAGCGCACTTGACGATGAATGAAATGAAATACGCTGTACGCTATACGACTGTAGCATTGTTTTTCAGATAAACAAGCATGTTAACTTAGCATGTTTCTTAAATATCTGCAAACATATTGTGGTATTTTTATACTTTAGTAGAGTCAAAAACTTACATACAGCACCTTTAAGAGAACACTGACTTTGATGAGACCTTGCTTCTATTAACAAACAAGAAGCCATAATAAAGAATGCATTTTCTTTCTT